ATTTTATTTTATACCTACGTGACTTTACCGAAAGAACCAAAGAGTATGGATTCCTGCAGTCACGAAAGCTTCAAATCAAGTAAGTATCTCATCCACAGTTCAGTGTTATATGCAGCACTGTACATTTAGGCTGTAGTATGGTGATTACACAAAGTGACCTTATTTAACACAGTAGCTTATTCTCTTGTTGTATACCTATTCAGTACTAATGTAGGTGTCTGGTCCATCCAGGCCCTATTGTTGGGATTCATGTTATCTAAGACAATTTTATGATGCTTCAGTGTTCATTAATTGTATTGATATTGCAAGTGTAGTGAGTCCAACTGAGTCGCAGACGTTATTCTTCAGAGGCAACCCATTTATTCACAATGCATATATACAAAGGGGTAACTGCCCCTTTTCCAGATACAGCCTAGGGTGGTGACCACCCAGCTAACTTCACTACACACAGAAGCTACAGCTACGATGGACCGGACCCTCACTCGGGTCCCGGGCCACGTGTTTGTGCCTCTTCAGACGTAGGACGTGGAGCTTCTAGCTTGTAGAACGAAGCGACCTCGGTACCTCTCAGGGGCCCACCCTATATCCTCCCGGGTCAGGACCGGCTCCACCCTCGGCCCCGCCCACCTTCGCGAGCGTTCTAGCTCCCTATTGATCCCTCTCGAGAGCTCTCCCAGGACACGTGATCACCCCCTAGCCCCCCTACCTGGGGGCCTCTCTGTGTGGTGCCCACGCTATCCGAGCGCTCACCAAGCCCCGCTATGGCTGGTACTACATCCACCCACGGGGTGTACGTGATGACGGTGCATTGCACGCCGTGCTCTGCTAAAGCCGGCCTGACTCACCAACACACACGATGATGTCTGTGACGTAAGTTCATCGCACGCCACAGCCCTCCCGGGCCGGCATCACACAGTGACATCCGCGATGTCACTACTCACGTATTAACAGATGCTATATTTTGTGCTGTGTTTTTCCATCAGTTTTACCTTGGAGTCGGATGTTCACCCTGGCATTGAAAGTTTATTGAATAGGAGGTTTGTGGTGCCACGACAGCGAAGCCGCTCCGCCGAGGCCGGGCCGCCGCTGTGCTGACGGTGCTGCTGCAGCGGGGAAGTCACCCGGCTCCCGTCACAGCGCTCTCCCCACCACCCCCCACATAAACACACATGGACCGGCGGGCAGGTGGGGAGCGGGGCGGCGCAGGTTAACGGCCCTACCCATAATGCACCGCGAGTTTAACGGCTCTACCCATAATGCACCGCAGTAGTAATGTCGAATGGGCAGCAGCGCTCACGGCACGCGCCGCGCGTGTAGCGCGTAGAGATAAATTGGTGAGCGGGTATTTCGCAGCGCAGCCTAATTAATTGATTCTGAACGGCTGCGACGGTAAATAAAACAAGATTACACAATTCAAGCGCTTGATGCTGCTGGCGGTGGTTACCGCGTGTGTAGAGCTGCGCCGCGAGGTACACGGGTACACACGTGCATAATCATGCAACGGTTGTTGCAGTTGTGGTAGATGTGGCTATTGTGGTGGTGGGCATTGTGGTTGGTGGCACTACTAGTGGTGCTCGTGCTGCGCCGTGGTCGCGCATCTTTACACGGCTATTTATAGCGCGAATCGTAGCGGACGAAGGGAGCGACGCGCGGGCAGCTGCCGCGCTATTTTTAGTGTGGGCACGTGGTGGCCAATAGGCGCGGGTAACCGCGCGTGGCCGAGTGTGGGCAGCGACGTACCTGGGTACGCATTGGGGAAATGCACGCGGGGAGTGTGTGTGAATGACTCGAGGTGGCCGAGAGCCAGCCAAGAGACATGTCTCATAGGGGGTGCGCGGAGGCAGCGAGATCATGCGAACGGCAGCAACGAGGAGGGAAGAAGAGGAGGAGGAAGGGGGAGTGGAGATGAGGGGCAGCAGCCTCTACTGGTTAATTACTAAGATAATGGTGCATCGCAGCACACAGTCAGGCTGAAACAGTAAAAATATATGCTTCGTTGAGCTCTCAACCAGCCAGCTTTTCAGGCTTTGGAGCTCTGAAACAGTCAGCTCTCCAGCAAGTTTACATTAAACCTGTGCCACAAACACAGTAAAAAGACATTCTTCTTGGAGCTCGCAACCAGCCAGCTCCTCAGGCTTGGAGCTCTCAAACAGCCGGCTCTACATGAAGTTTACATTAAACCTGTGCCACAAACACAGTAAAAAGACATTCTTCTTGGAGCTCGCAACCAGCCAGCTCCTCAGGCTTAGAGCTCTCACGCAGCCGGCTCCACATGAAGTTTACATTAAATCTGTGCTGCAAGGACAGTATAAAGACATTCCTGTTGGAGCTCTCAACCAGCCAGCTCCTTAGGCTTGGAGCTCTCAAGGAGGCGGCTCTACAGCAAGTTTATATTAAACTTGTGCTGCAAGCAAAGTAAAAACACATTATTCTCGGAGCTCTCAACCAGCCAGCTCCTCAGGTTTAGAGCTCGCAAGCAGTTAGCACTACATCAAGTTTACATTAAACCTGTGCTGTAAGCACAGTAAAACAACATTCTTCTTGGAGCTCTCAACCAGCCAGCTCCTCAGGCTTGGAGCTCTCAAGCAGCAAGTTTACATTACACTTGTGTTCCAAGCATCACAGCATGGAAAGCCACAGTTCAGCAGGGAAAAATGCCGAAGCAAGTGATTTAAGCAATCCAGGACCTCCCATCCTGCCTCAAGAGGACCAAGCGAGTTCAAGGCCCCAAAGAGAGGTCGGCTGACACAACGGGCCTTGGAAAGCTATGATACTGACAAGCAAGACTTTGAAGCCAGGATACAAAGGGCATGGGACCGGGTTGAAGTAGATATATCTGAAGCTCAAAACGCCTCAGACACAGTGGCCCAATTCAGCGGGTCATACATCGAGTGAAGGTCAGCAGTTCAAGCTACAAGCTGCTGGAAAATAAATACATCTCCCTCCTGAAGAAGGCGAAGACGAGGGCATCGAGGGAGTGCGCATTCAAGAGCGCTTCCTTCAACTGCTCGATGATAATGTGAAGGCAGTGATACAAGATGCAACGGACAGTGTGGAGAGCTTAATAGAGAAAGATCTCAGCACTCTCATCCAAGTCCACCACAAGATCTAAAGGCTCAGCACACTCACATATATCATCTACGAGTATTGCAGCAGCTCAGACACGTGCAGCAGCAGCAGAAGCAGCAAACTTCTGTATCTCCTATATGGCTGAAGAGGAAGCCATGCTAATTGAAAAAGCCCGCATACAAGAAGAAGCAAGCATAGCAACTGCTGCCGCATAGAAGAAAGCAAAGCAAAAGAGCATAGCAACAGCTGCCGCTCTTCGTAAGGAAGCAGAGCTGGAAGAGACATTAGTAGCTACTGCCGCACAGAAGAAAGCAGAGCTTGAAGAGCAACAGAGTATATCCGTGGCTACTGCCACGCGGAAGAAAACTGAGCTGGATGCTAAGTTAAGCACCCTACAACTCAAAAAATCAGCTGCTGCTAAGGCCCAGGCAGAGGTGCTCGAAGCAGCAGCTAATCTGGATAAGGAAGAGAATTGAAGTGAGTTTGGCACTCAGATGCCTGTCAAGGACCGTGACCAACTAACCAGAAATTATATATTGGACTGGTATGAACAATGCAACCAATGCTCCTCCACCAACTGATACTGAGCAAAAGGTGGATGTCGAGGCATCGCCGCCTCCATGCTGAGTGAACATGAATGCTGTCTACGGGAATGGTGGAAATGCATACCCTGCCCTGGCAGTTAATCGCCGACTCAGTGTCGCACACGTGGGGTCAGACAAGGATGCATCAAGTCAGACCCACATTCCAGACAGTCACATATAGGGATCAAACCAACGTGATCGAAACTTTTTGGGCCCACAATCCAACACCATCGTGAATGACGGCATGCAAGGCAATACAGCCAATTATTGCACCTCACAAGCGCCAGTATGGACACACCCTGGATCAGCAGGCATAGGGGACTTTGCTAGGTACCTGGCTCACCGTGAACTAATCGAACTATTGAGCCTGGAGATCTACTTTCAGGAATGCAGACATCTCCGCAAGTGAAGAAATCGACCTGTTGGTGAAATGGTTAGTAAACGAATCTGCAGAGTACGCAAAGAGGATCTGGTTGGCAAACATAGACGATTCTGCCTCAAGCTTTCATGCAAAGTTGGAGAGGCTCGAGGAATGCTATGGTAGCCCAGAAACCATTGAGAAGGCTCTCTTCAAGAAGTTGCAGAACTTTCCAAAAATCTCTGGTCGAGACAATAAAAGGTTATGAGAGCTTGGAGATATTTTGATGGAGCTTGAATCAGCCCTGGTTGACCCCTACTTACCAGGTCTCATCTTCCTGAATACCTACCATGGAGTGAACCCCATCGTTGAAAAATTGCCATTCGATGTGCAGGAGAAATGGAGAACAAAGGGTTCAAGTTACAAGTCAGAGCATCACGTTGCATTCCCCCCATTATCGTTTTTCTCAAGGTTTATCTGCAAACTGGCTCAGACCAGAAATGACCCGAATTTCATGTTTGGCACCACATGGATCTCCAGTCCAGATCTCCCAAATATCGACAGAGCAACGGCGAGACGAGGAACAGCGAGAGTGCCAATTTCCGTACACAAAACTGAGGACTCTCTTACGATATTCGCAAACTCCGTCCAGGCAACCATCACAAAGAAAAATATAGAAGATCCAGAAAGGAAATGCCTATTGCGTGATAAACTTCACTCCCTCCAGAAATGCTGTGAGTTCAGGAGGAAGCATTGGAAGAGCGGCAGAATATGCTGAAATTTTTTTCATTCTGTTTCAAATGCTGTGCTTCTACAAACCATCTTGCAAGGGATTGCAAGGCAGATATCAAGTGCGTGGAATGTGGCAGCGACAAACACGCAACTGCTCTGTACACATTTTACTCCAAATCCAGTGGCACTAAGGCTTCCGATCCCGAAGCAGAGCACAGTGGGGAGCAAGGTGAGACCGCCGCATCCACTTCGACAGTCACAACCAAATGCACAGACGTCTGTGGAGAAGGCTTCAAAGGAAAATCTTGCTTAAAGATATGCTTCGTCCGAGTGTATCCCAAAGGACATCCTGAAAGGGCAGTAAGGATATACGCCATAATGGACGATCAGAGCAACAAGTCTTTGGTAAGGTCAGAGTTCTTTGATCAGCTAAGTGTATGTGAGAATTCTTTCCATACACGATCAGAACATGCACAGGACTGATGGAGACAGCGGAAAGAAACACGAGTGGCCTCATGGTGGAAACTATGGATAGCACCTACGTTGATAGAGTGCAATGAGATACCGGACGACAGGAGTGAGATTCCCATGCCTGAAGTCGCACGTCACCACCCACACCTGAAGCCTATAGCAGAGTTCATCCCGCCATTGGATCACGGGGCACAGATTTTACTTCTGCTTGGCAGGGACATGCTGAGAGTCCACAAGGTTCACGATCAATGCAACGGACCTCATGACGCTCCCTATGCCGAGAGACTTGACCTAGGATGGGTCATCGTAGGTGATGTCTGTCTCGATGGAACACACAAACCTGACCGCGTTAAAACATTCAGAACAAGTGTGCATGTCGCTCTTCAAAGTGTGCTCTAACCACTTCACGATGAAAGAGAAACCCGAAGACAGAAATCAAGGCTGTACCATGCAGACTTAAGAAGAAACCACCACGCTGGCCACGACTTTGCTTGTACGTCCAACGTCTTCACTGGATTTTGGTCCTTCACGTTTCTCCAAGCCAGTCCTGACTGACGGGAAGAAGGCAAAGATGAAGCTGCTGCTTGTCACTCTGCTGGTGGTCATGGCAGTGGTCGCTGTGGCCGTGACCTCTCCATTCCTCGTCCCGGAGCTGTCGTCCAAGTGGGAATCCTGGAAGGAGTTCCATGGCAAGGCCTACGACCAGAAGGAGGAGGGCTGGAGGAGGATGATTTGGGGGAAGAACCTCAAGAAGATCACAGTGTACAACCTTGAGCACTTCATGGGCAAGCACACCTGGCGCTTGGGCATGAACAGCTTCGGTGACATGACTAGAGAGGGCTGGAACAGCACCAGCAAGGCCTCCCACGGTGCCACGTTCATGGAGCCCACCTTCTTCAAGGCTCCTGAGTCCGTCGACTGGAGGAAGCAGGACTACGTCACCGATGTCAAGGACCAGGGCGAATGCAGCTCTTGCTGGGTGTTCAGCACCACGGGCACCCTCGAAGGGCAGCACAAGCACAAGACGGGAGTGCTTGTGTCACTGAGCGCTCCGGACAGTGCTTCTCCAGCTGGTGTCGCTTGTCGCATCGTCTACGGTGACGGGCGGCCACAGGAGGTTTTGCCGAGGGGTGACGAGCAGAGGCTTCAGGATGGAGCCTCTGATGGTCCCCCTGCGGAGTCGACGGCTGCCATTGCGGATGCGGGAGAGTTGTCCGCCATTACACACGCTATGGAAACCACGCGGCGGGACGCCGCCATCTTGGGTGGCGCTGTTGAGGCGCGGTTGGAGTCCGCCATATCTGAGGAGCCACGTGGTATGCAGCCGGTGGGGGCTGCTGCTGTTGGACGGAACAGAGCCAGGTGCAGCCGCCGTTTTCCTCAGGTCAAGGAATTCGTCGTTGCAGGCGGCGATTGGAACGCCTTTACTTGGCGCTTCGAGGCGGCGTTCCGGTCAGTACACTGATCGGAGGAAGAGGCGTTGGTCGCTCTGCCGACCATTTTGGGTGACGATGCGCTGGCGGTATTTCGATAGATTCCTCCTGAGAAGAAGAAAACGTTGAAGGATGTGTATGCGGAAATGGCTGAGGTCTATGAACCACCTTCCGATACTCAACTAAAGTTCATGCAGCGTAGGCGGGGAAATTCCGAATCCCCCCTTGCCTACCGTAGCACTTTGATGAGTTGGCTGTGGCCGCTTACCCCGATTTTAAGCAAGAAGTCCTCGACTCGCTGATTATGGAAAGAATGCTAGCTTTGGCAAGCGACATGCGGGTGGTTCTACCTGCTTGCGGTCAAGCAATCCAGGACGAGAACCTTCGGCGTTGGACGCAAATGGCTGCATGGACTGGGGATCCTATTCGCAGTGGTGAGCCGATGGGTTGGTCTCCAACTAAAGTCGTCCACAATCTGGACAATGTGCCTTCGGAGGGTGATCTTGTGGTGGCTGTTCCTCGTTGGGATCGACATCGGGGCGACATTCAATGTCGCCGGGGGTTCTACGGCCCACGTTGTCGTCCGACCAACGCAGGGAGTTGCGTGCACTTCTGAGTGAACTTGCTGACGTTTGCAGTAAGGATGATTTCCATTTGGGACGTACGTCCCTTTTGTCCCACCACATTGATATGGGTGAGGCCAGCCCTATTCATCAGAACTCGCATCGGTTGAGCCCTGGGGAGAAGGAATGTGTGCAGCGCGCTGTGAATGATATGCTGGCCGCTGATATAATTTCCCTGTCTAACAGTCCTTGGGGTGCGCCGGTCGTACTTGTTAAGAAAAAGTACGTGAATCTCAGATTTTGCGTGGACTTTTGCAAACTGAATAAAGTTTTAGTGGCCGACGCATATCCGCTCCCATGTATGGATGACTCCCTAGATGTGTTGTCCGGAGCACGGTATTTCTCGACTCTTGCTTTGTCTTTCTGGTTTGGCAATTGCCCCTGGATGACTCATCGAAACCGAAGACTGCATTCCGCACACCTCAGGGACTCTTTCAATTCAATTGCCTTCCGATGGGGTTGAATTTAGCTCCCGCCACATTCCAACGCTTGATGGAGCTCGCCTTAGCTGGCTTGCAGTGGGACACTTGTCTCATTTATCTGGAAAATATAATTGTGTTTCGTCACATGTTCGATGAACACCTTCGACGCCTGCGCGCCGTTTTTGAGAGGATGCGCTCCGCTAACCTCAGGTTTCAAACTGAAAAATTTCATCTATTGCAACATTCAGTGTGTTACTTGGGCCACGTTGTGAGCTCCGACCGTATTGCCAAGGATCCGACCAAGACGGCCTGTGTTCGCGATTGGCCGACCCCAACATGCCTGGGGGATGTACGGAGCTTCATCGGATTCACGTGATATTACCGTCGGTTTGTGCCAAATTTCGCTGCGGACGCTAAACCCCTGCACGCGCTGACTGCTAAGAATCAGAGATTTAAATGGGGTCCGGAGGAGGAAGCGGCGTTCGTGGCCCTTCGCAGTCGCTTTTCCGACGCACCCACACTCGAATATCCAGATTTTTCCTTGCCGTTTATATTAGACACCAACGCCAGTGACATGGGTATCGGCGCTGTTTTATCACAATCTAAAAACGGTGTGGAAAAAGTAGTCGCTTATGGCAGCCGTGTCCTTTCTCCAGCAGAAAGTCGCTACTGTGTAACGAGAATAGAACTGTTGACCATTGTTTACTTTGTGCGTCAGTATAGGCTTTACCTTTACGGCAGGAAATTCATTGTCCGCACTGACCATGCGGCTCTCCAATACTCCTTAAAGATCGAGCAGCCAGCCGGCCAATTGTCTTGTTGGCTTGAAATTTTACAATAATTTTCTTTCGAGGTCGTTTATCGTGAAGGTTCCTGGCATTGTACCATCCTCAGACCAACGGGATGGTTGAGCGACTGAATCGTACTCTGACTGCCATGCTTTGCCACACTGTCAATGAAAAACAGGCCGATTGGGATTTACACGTGCCGAGCGTGCTCGCCGCGTATAGAATGGCCCAGCAAGCTTCCACGGGATTCTCACCATTTTTCCTCATGTACGGAAGGGAGAACGTGCCACCCATTTATACCCAATTGGGCACGACTGTTGGAGACGCTAAACCGGCCCTATTTGACCATGTTCGAGACTCCCTGCGCCGGATTTCTGAGGCGCGGGAGGCGGTTAGGGTTAACACCGCTAAAACGCAGGCTCGCAATGAGTGGTGTGCATGCAGGTCTGGCCGTGACATGCCATGGTCTGTCGGTGATCGGGCCTGGCTTCATTTCCCTCAGGTGTCTGTTGGCACCTCTCCCAAGTTACACAGGCCTGTTGAAATGGTTGAGGTTAGGCATCCACAGTGCGTGCGCATTCGGGCGGGTCTCCGTCGTTGGTTTGTCCACCCATCTCGGTTGAAACCGTTCGTTCCTCCGCGCATTGCTTCGTCATCCCCAAAAATTGGCCTGCCGGGATCTGATGTGTCCGATGTGCCAGAGCGGTTGCAGATTATCCCCCGAGGGATTCTGTTTTACCGCCCACAGCAGCCGAGCCCTTGACTGCTGCTGCGGACACCGACCCCGCATGATCCAGCCCCGCAGCGACGGACTCCACCACCTTCCGCTGACCGCCCGGCCTCCTGCCGAGCCAACCCATGCAGGGCTGGATACAGATGCAGGAGATGGTCCGGTGTCGCAGACCTGTTAAAGACGCCCCGATTTCATTAACACATGTGCCTTTGCCTGTGTTGGGTATTCGCCTTACTTACTTGTTATTGCATTATCGTTCATGCGCTCTTCTTTGTTATGTATGCTCTTCATTGCCAGCCGGGACGGCTAGTCTTTTCATCACGGGGGAGGGGGGGGGGGGTGATGTAATGAGAGAGCGCCATATAGGGGACGACGAGGGGTATCTGCATAAGCCACCACTGGGTAACTAATACCCAATGGGAAGTGTGGGATACAATTGGGCCAAAGGTGACAGGCGGAGCTAAAGAGTACGTGCGGGAACGGCCGAGAAGGTTCTACGAGGGGGTGTGTCCAGAGGCAGAGCTTGCTCCGCCGAGGGGAATATAAGGGGAGGCAATGAGAGGACGCTTGGTCGGTGTGGGAAGCCTGGAGTCCAGACTGCGTCATCGCGACCCTCTACTCACCACCGGTCACGTGGCGGTCCTTCCAGCGAAGATGTCTCTCCTCTCGGCACGCCGTCAGCCAGTGGTGGACAGGGAGCGAGAGGGAGAGACGCGCGACAACGGTGGAGTAGAGAGGCGCGCGTCACGGCAGACAGAGAGAGTGTAACCATGCGGAAAGAGAGTGGAGTTGTGCAGTCATATAAAGAAAGACGCCAGTCAACAGTTGTCATTAAAGTGCTCTATTACACCTACATCAAGAAGTGGCATTGACTCAGAGGTGCCATACCTGTACACGAGCAGTACATATCGAATGAATCAAGTCCATGAACTCTTCGAGCTTTATAAATGCACTCTAGAGATTCTTCGCCATCAGAGGGTCAGCCAAGCAACTCCATATGGGTGGAGCCTGGGAATGCATGATCGGGATTGCTCGACGCATTCTTGACTCCATGCTGTGTGGTGTCGGGTCCACATGGCTCTCTCTCGAGGTCTTGACCACTCTCATGGCCGATGTCTCAGCTATAATTGACTCAAAACCCCTGATCGCCATCTCAACCGACCCAGTCACCATTCATCTTGACTCCTGCTACACTTCTTGCCCAGAAGACAGACGTGCTCACAGCACCCACCGAGGAGGTCAGCACTGCAGACCTCTACAGACGTCAATGGAGACAAGTGCAGAGCTTCGCCAACACGTTCTGGCATCGCTGGAAAAACGAGTACTTTGCGACACTTCAAGTGCGCAGCAAATGGCAGTCAAGCAGACTAGACATCAAAGGTGACTTCGTCCTACTGAAGGACAACCAAGTCAAACGGAATGAGTGGTCAATGGGCCGCATCCTCAAAACGATTCCCAGTGCTAATGGGAAAGTTCGAAAGGTTGAGGTTATGATAGCGAAGCAAGGTGTTGCAAGACCTTTCGTCAGGCCTATAGCTGAGACAATACTACTCTCTCTCGCAAAGATATGGACAAATAAGTTGACCCATCTAATTTTGTTGTACATGTTTATGAGATACGAAATAAATGGTGGTATCTCCTAGATACCAGACGGGGAGTGTTCTGCCCCACAGCAGATATGGGGGTGTGTTTACACAGGAACTTCATCATATGGTGTTGTTTGGTCACGTGACCAGGAAGTTACGATTTAAGGTTCTCTCAGCCACGAGGTAGGTGTGTCAGCCATTACACAAAGTACAAAATGGAGGCACAAATAGCATCTCAGTGAAGACAGGTGCATCTGTTGTGGGACTTTTAAGAAGCCTTGTCTGTAAGTTCGCTATGTTATTATAATGCTGAGAATGCTGTTATGTTAGGATTGCCGTTAGCAAGCTGTAAATGCATTTATGATGCTGTTAAATTATGATGAATATGGGGCCTCGTTCACAACGAAGCTTGCTACTTGCATTATTGTGAAAGTTATTTGTAATTGGATAAGTCGAGCCAGACTTGTGCCCATGTAACTTTAATGCGATCTTGAGAGCAAGGATGAAGTATCTCATCCACAGTTCAGTGTTATATGCAGCACTGTACATATAGGCTGCAGTATGGTGATTACACAGTGACCTTATTTAACACAGTAGTTTTGTTCTCTTGTTATATAGCTATTCATTGCTAATGTAGGTGCCTGGTCCATAAGACATTGTTATGATGCTTAAGTGTCCATTCATTGTATTGATATTGCAAGTATTAACGGATGCCGAATTTTGTGCTGTTTTTCCGACAATGTTATGATGCTTAAGTGTTAATTAATTATATTGGTATTCAAAGTATTAACAGATGCTGTATTTTCCCATCAGTTTTACCTCGTTCTATTCATTAAATACGTTGGAGTCAGATGTTCACCCTGGCTCTGAAAGTTGATTGAATACGAGGATAACTACTTGGATAGTGGTGCAACGCAGCGCACAGCGAGGCCAAAACAACTCGTATCTACGACCGCCTAATGACTGCTACTGACGCCGAGTCGATTGGTGACGAGTCTGCGCTTATGATGCACATACACCAGCGCCATGTGGCGCTGCTTTGCTCTTCTGCCAAATGTACAGGATAGCCGGGGTCTCTTTCTCAATGCTCTTCGCTTATGTAAATTTTCTTCAAATGTTGAACATTTTTATCTTTTAACGTCTGAGAAGAGGAAAGGTGATGCACATGCAGAATGTTTAAGGGTTTTCAAATGTGTTTATTTTCGTGGCCAATTTTGGTATTTTTATGGTATGTAATGGGTTTCCAGGAACGGAACACCAATGTATAACATTGCGCCTATAATAAATAAGGGTTCGACTTACGACAGCTAGACTTGCGACTGTCGTCCAGGAACCAATTAGGTCGTCGGTGTGGGGTTGCCTGTATTTGGGTGATTTGTTTACCTCTTGTACTTTGCACTATCGTGTTTTGTATTGTTTGTTGTTGTAACGTTCATACCCACCCCTACTGGACATGTGAAAAATAGCATTAGAGCTCATCAAATTCCTCCAGTAAAAATATTCTGATTATGAATTCTGAACGAGGCACAAGTGTCACGCGATCAGGGTGTGCAATGCATTGAGGAGATGAGGGCAGGACCATGCCACGAAGATTAAAACCGTGGTGGGACCTTGACACTAAAGAGCTATGAGTGGAAGGGACGTGACATTTGATTCATGAACGGCAAACCGAATTCTATGTAAATGTATTTGTAAGACTCAACGTTACAAGACAAGTCGGTACAGACGAGCCGGTACCAATGTGACAAAACAGATAAGACTGCACAACTAACAAAATTGCACACTTGTACGACAGTTGATTTGGATAGCATACAGGGCGAGATGGCAGTACACACGAGACGGCACAATACGTTGGAGGTACAGATGAGATGGTACAAACTGGACCAGTATAGAATTCTTTTTTGGCAGGCCCTTGCGGATCAATGACTTGCTTCCACTATGGTTGTTCTAAGATTCCTGAAAAGCCCAATGCGAGAACCCACAAACTCTGCCGCAGATGGTACTTGGAAGTGGCAAGGGGGTTAAGGTCGGTTGAGCAGCAGCACGCTCCTTTCGCTGCTTACTTTGACTTATTGCTGGATAGTCTTAAATGCGCAGTGCCGATCCTAATGCCAAGAGCTCCCATACGTTGGTGTCAATGCACTTCTTCAAAGTGGCTTTAAGGACGTCTTTGAATCTATTTCCGTTTTCCAGGGGGATCGTTTGCCATGGCGAGGTTTGAGTAAAGATCTTGCTTTAGCAGCCTGGTGTCTGGCATGCAGCCGATGTAGTCTGCCGAGCGTTGTTGGTTGTGATTTGTGCCTCAATGCTAGGGAGGTTGGCCAGAGGACGTTGACGTTAGTTTGTCTGTCCGGTCAACGAATTTGAAGTATTTACCGTAGGCAGCGTTGTATACCACGTGCTTGGTGTACAGGGACGGCACAGTTGAATTTCAGAAAATGGAAGGTCACAATACAGATTAAAAGAACAAGACGGTACGAGGCGAATCATACAGACCAGACAAGAATGCAGCCAGTACGTACACAAACAGTAGACAAGACAATGTAGACGAGACAGACTGAGCACAAACAATGGTTCCAACAGACAGGTTACAGACTGACAGGAAACCGTGGAGGCGAGAAATGCTCTGGAAAGCGTGACATAAGAGGCGATACATACACAAGGGTACAAAGCTCAGCAACGGCAGGACTTTAAAGCACACAGTACTGGCACACCATTAAAACGGCGTAAACAGCCACACCGTGGCACTAACTTGACAGTACAGAACAAACTTTTTACAGGTGGTGCAAACGACCCAGAACGACAACACGGTGGAGACGATTCACACCATAGCATACAGACGAGGCTTGCAGTACATACAAGACAAAACGTACAAGGCAACAAAGTGGATTCTTGAATTGGATCGTGACCTCCGAACCATTAACAATCTTTAAAATTTGGGAGAGCATGGGTGAAAGAACCGTATTCGGTAAGGATCTACCGACACTTAACCCTTACCCTGTGATGTAAGAACATTTACAGAACACTGTATTAAACGTGAATTCGCACCATGGCGAGTTTCATCAACCGGTGGACTGACATCAAGAGGCATGTCGCGTGTTTTTTTCAAAACCGCTTTTTATTCAGGCAGCACTCAAACCTGAGAATAAAAAACATGTGGTTGTAGGGTTTTTGCATGTGGGGAGGAAATGTCAGCAACCGAACGTAAACAGCTCTTGTAATGTGTGCAGCAGTGGCATGTTTCTAGGCTCACCCAAGGGTGAAGCCCATTTATTTAGCTTGATGTTTTTTGTTGTATCTTCAATGATTCTATAGGTGCAGTGATTAGTTGGGAGTGATTTCCTTCCTCAAATGCGCAGGGAATTGCTCATTTTATGGTGGAGGGAAAGTCTACCCACAGAATAACCACTGTTGACTTCCCCCACAAGCTACTAGTTTTGACTACCGGAGAGAGGAGCCAAGTCAACCCTCTACTACCAGGATTTGAACTCGCAACTTTTCCGAATACGAGCCACTCGCACTCTGCCACTTGGACCTGATTGGTGTCCCCAACGCAGTGATCAATGTAGACGCTCTAAATACAAGTGTCGTATAAACACGTGGAAGTTTCAATGTGCGTATGTAGCGAGTTCATTTTTACCTCTGCAGCCAATAAAGACATTTAAGATAAAGGACACTTTTATCACGATTATTAAATCGTGATCTGTCAATCGCAAGTGATAATATTTCAGAGGCTACGGGTAGTGAATTGTTACACCTAGAAACAAAACTGTTAAGCCGCCAAATCATGTCATGACTCATTCACTTCTGGATGGTCTCCAAGCCATCCCCAATCTATCTGGCGATACATGTCCAAGGTGTTCAAGACCGTGAACAAAGCAAGGCAGTCGTGTCTCAAATTCACCAACATCCTGTATATGCAACGTGCACAATATAAAAAGTGAAAAGACCATATTTTACAATTGGAAAAAAAATTAGTGGATAGTGTGTAACAAACCTGGTATGAGCACTCACATCTGTTTAAATCAAGCCTCGTGTAAATCACGTGATTTAATTTTGCCAACTCCACTGTCAATGCCTTCCAGGGAGGTTAAGTTGGGGGTTGTGGTTTAGGGTTCGTACTGGGTGATAAAAATTGGGGCAAGTGAGATATGATGAGATTAGAGTTAGCAATAGGGATCGCAGGTCGGGTTACGGCTATTCCATTAGCTCGTAGCCACTGCCCATAAGCCAGGCAGGACTTGAGGGATTTCCGCATATCTTAGTCTTGTAATATTATTAAATTTTTACCTTCGCAACTGAACAATACAGGTCCTACCATTCAATCTAAGAACTGTTATTTATACAACACTTCCCGCACCTTTGGCCTAAATGTAATAGCATAAATAACAAACTATTCACACACACACACAAACATGACTGGTATGTAATCGTCCGCATAAGGAAAGTTTTTTTTTAACTAATCGATGTCTATTTACATACATGCTATGTTAAATATTTCCATTTTTTCCCGTTAGTAAAGTTGACAGTCGTTCCCCATGTGTTGTTCAGTTTGCCTTGGAGTTATGGAGTCTTAAATTGATTAACTTTGTGCATCACTAGTTGCTGCAGGTACATTTCTAGTTGCGAGTTATGAAACTGACAATCACAAAATCAATATCGAAACACGTTTCCCCCCCCCCACCCACCACCTACTTTCTTCAGCAGTCAGTATCTTTCCATTTAATTCTCGGAATATTTACAGGGATGACATGGGCAGAAACCCTTAGCAACATCGCTGCTTACTTCCGGTGGCAATCAACCATTTCATCCAAGACAAAGGGGGCCATTTTCTGATTTAGAACGACTGATGCCCCCAAATTAGCCTAGCATGATCCCATGAAGTGTTGCATTTTAATTGCAAGATGGGAGTTCAACTTTCAACCTCGTGCCAAGCAGTCCTTCAGCAAGTGCCAACAACCGCTGGATTGAACGGTGGATCAAGCCCATAATGAGCGCTCCAAATCTGCATGGCACCTTCCTGTTGCTGCTGTGTATTAACTACAGACTGTGACGGTAATCAAACCAGACCCCTTGTCCTCGTCGCACTAAACAACAAAGATCCGGCTTGTTCCGCTAACCCGCTGGATTGTCTTCCTTCTGGCTCAATTGCGCAAGTCCAGAAATTACCCCTGCCATCAGAGGGGAGCGCAACACACCGACATAAAACAGCCTGAATCTAAATGGTATTGTCCCGTTATTATACTCCAAGCCCAGAAAACGGCTGGCAGGAGGGTGCCAGTTCTTCAGATGGCCAGGGTGGTCGAGAATGCGGCCTTGGCGATGGCGGAGGGGAATATCGTCCCCCAGTTGCGCGTCGCCTCCGAAAGGTGGCGCTGCCCGTGGCTCACCCACTCCTCCTGCCCCGAGAACACACGGCCGCAGAACCAGCAGGAGAAGCGAGTCTTCTGGGATGTGCAGGTGCGAGTGTGCACTGCCGTGTGGACCACCTGTGCTCGCACGCATGCACACATAGCCACAACTATCACCATCGGAGAACAACCCCGGGCACATTTACAACAGCAGTAGGAGTTGTTGGCTGATGGTACAATTACAATGAAATTCATTACAAAATTATAATTACAATTCTGATTCCAGTTTTACCCATCAACAGATACGTTGTAGGCAGCAGTATGGAGCAGAAGAAAATTAATTTCTGTGCTATGTTATACTCCCATTTCCATGCTCCCCACCTTCACCAATGCACACTGACCAGCATGGTGAAGTATCATAAAATAAACTCCCAAGACCGAAATGGCATGGATTCTTCAATCAGCCGGGGGCTGTAAGTTATAAATTAAAAAACATCTGATGACAGCATACATCGAAGGCAACCACATTAACATGTATGCATTCACAGCTGTTTTTATCACTCAACTGTATTATAGGTCTTGGGGAGCTATTTGACCATGCTTCACCATGCTAGTCAGTACGGATTTGAGGTGGGGAGCATGTGCGGGAGCCTCAAGTACAATATAACAATGACATTTCCCCAACTACTCTCTGCTTCCTACAATATACCTCCCCAGCAGCCTCTAAAACACCTGGTTGTTGTGCAAGGTGGCCACTCATACCGCACAATCCGGACTAATACCTGCTTGGCTTCCGAGATCTGACGAGTGGGCGTGCATTTGGTCATTGGGCATAAACGTGTATACAAAACAAGTTAAGAAAATTACACGTGTGCACGGATTAGACAACGCTTTCCAACATGGGTTTGTACTTAGAAGTATTTCATTTAACCAAATACATTTGCATATTTGTAAAGTCCAATTTTCTGTTTTCATCTCAAGGTTTGCACGATAGCCCTTGCTCAATTTGACCGTTTTTCAAGTCCTGAATAGCAACACTTGTTCATATTTGATCATTTTTACAAGTCATAGTGCCACCCCTCATCCAACCATCCCCACCTCCCAGTATGGACAGATGTAAACATTATTTAAACATATGCAACCTTTGTTGTAAAGCATTAACCTTTCCATGGCTATGCATTTTTCAACTGTACTTCATGTTGCAGACAACTTAGGTCCATTTAATTTGTGGCCATCATTTCCAGAATGAGGGAAGACAGGTTCTCACACGCAATAATTTTACAAAAAAAATTCCCACAAAATGGCAGCAAACATAGCAACGTGTATGGTCCACAAACAAAAATATACATTCGGTCACTTGAAATGTCAGATATGTCACACGAGGGCCTTTCTGGAATAGACGGCCAGTCGTAAAAAGGGGTTAGAGTGATGTGCAAATTGTACAGACCTGATAACTGTTGGAGCTCATCCTCCTCAACTTCATCTTCAGGATTCCCCGGCGCTGCTCCAGCATCTTGTGGTGCTCCTTCGTGGTCTGGCCACCAGGCCTGGATGTTGGGTCCTTGGCTATGTGCACCGAGATCTTCGGTGAACAAAGAGCGTAGGCATCATCACCTCGCACAAATTCCTTCAAGCTTCCACACCTCACCCATCACGCAAGCACACCCGAGCATGTCCGCTGGTAATCCCTCACAGCATCTACCTACCAGAGTTGTCTCAATATGGTGATATGCTGTATTGTACAATGTTTAACTTCTTTCGCACCATACGTAGCCAACTGTGCTCATCAGACAAAAAACTGCATAATTTTGCAAACCATATCGTGATCGTTGCTAAAATAACAAACCTCGGACAAATTATGATTACCTATAATCGAAGTTCATATTGATGTATCATCAACTCCATCAGAACATGAACAGGCCAACAAACTATGGACCATATAAGCAAACCACTTAACAGAATAAGAGCAAAACTACGCTCTCCTGAGGCTGTCTCTTGGCTAGCAGACATTGACATTTAGTTCCTGAACATATTGCCAGAGTAAATTAACACATGCCGTTATTCTTCTCTGGTCATCATTCTGACAGCATGTACATTCTAATAGTTATAGATCGTCAAGTCGCAATGACTAGAAGATTTATGACAGGTTATACGACATCTTTATTCGTACTTTAAAGTACATCAAGGCACAAAAACAAGACAATAAAAATGTAAAGTACAATTGTAAAGTTATGGAAACTGATAATGGAATAATCATTGTATAGTAGAGTATAAAATAAGATCAAAAATGTGTTATATCAAAGCCATCGTACATACCAAGGCAATGTTAATACACACGATTAGTCAAACCTTCCAATCTTATACCTCTCCCATGTCAAGTTTTGAGAAATGTTCATTCACATGGATATCTACCATGCTTGCCAAGATATGGCAATGGCAATGCCATACCATGCCTTATAAGGTCCACGATAGCGGTCCACTTGTAAAATATCATGCTTGTTGCATGTTTTATTTTTTATGCATGTTTTCCTGCCAAATGATATTTGTCACAATAATTCAAGTTAAAATGTTATAAAAACCGTGTCACATTGTTTTTCAAAACCTCTCAGAATAATTAACTACATGATGGCTACGTGACATCACTTCCTCAGTGCATTTGATCATTTTCACAATGTGCGTATGCCATGCATTTGGGGAGTGATCTGCAGATAATTACATTTTAAATAATCTTTATTTTTTAACACCCAGGTCGCCCTTGCAAGAGTCAGTGTTTCATTGTCATTATGGGTTTATGTAATCTCCCTGTTATATAAAGGACAGTAATTGCCTGCTTTGCAATAAACTACAACACAATACAAATCTAAAAAATATTTCCAAGGCAAGGTAAACTGACATCATAAGAAAGTGTTTCTAATTTGTAATTTGACTGACACTCTTGTTCTCTCGCTAAGTGTGTTGCTACCGCATCTCTTGCGCACAAAATGCCACTTTTCCAATTATTGGTAATTAGCAGCGTAGAGCCTTGACGTCACGAGCTCATTTATATGCACCGACACAGTTTTCCCAACTGAAAGCGGCGCAGGCATAAGCCACGCATTTTCCACTTCAGGCCTAAGAGATGCTGCATTGTACACATTTGGCACCAATTCCCAATACTGCACTCTAGAGCGGTTATAATTAGAGTAATTGTACTGTACCATGTGTGCTTTTAAAGCTACTTGACTAAAATTAGACATGCACTTATATTCAAATGTAGAAAACATTGCAAATTTCAATGATATAAATAGAAATGCTATATGAATACGTTTCACAAGTGGAAATTAATACAAGTAAAAAAAGCTAATTTTTTTCAAGTGCAGTAGTTGTGTTCTTTTAAGCGTCATAAAAGTTGCACAAAAGGAGTCTCTACTCTGATGTAATTAAAGATGCATAACGAAACCATCGTCAACCACAATCAAAAGTTTTTGTGGCATTTAAATATAGGTATCCCTCGATTTACAAAAGGGATGCGTTCTTCAAAAAATATGCAGAAAACTAAATTTCGTAAATCAGAACGGCTTTTCCCATAAATTTAATGCAAGAAATTAGAGATGTGTTTTGGACAGTCATTCCAACTCTAATCTAAACCTAACAATATTCACCTAAATCATATTTAACAATACAAATATGCGGAAAACTAAATTTCGTAAATCAGAACGTCTTTTCCCATAAATTTAATGCAAGAAATTAGGGATGTGTTTTGGATAGTCATTCCAACTCTATTCTAAACCTAACAATATTCACCTAAATCACATTTAACAATACAAAAATAAACAAAAATAGAAAAATGATTGAATTCAAGGGTTTTTGTAAGGAAACAGCAAAAACCCTTGACAGGGAACTCACCAAAATATCTGCATGTTGGAATGACTGAGGAGGTAATGTGGAGGCATTACTTTTGCACTCTATGATACTATGACAATGTGGCGGATGGATGACAAAACCTCCCAGGTGCTTGTTTGAAAATTCGTTCACGCGGAAATTCGACTTTGTTAATCAAAAAGTGTCAATAATTTGTCAATTACGTTCACGCAAAATTTCGTAAATCGAACATTCGTAGATTGAGGGATACCTGTATTATTAAAAGCTTGCACATGGCATCATTTCATGCCTATTGAAACCCCCTCAAGCCCCCCCCCCCCCCCCCCCAAACTGGAGAATATTATTCCATTATTATTTTTAGACTTCACCGTTGACTTGCCCATTGGATGATTGGTGATTGGTGTCACGTGATGCACTGCAGCGCTACAGAGCCATGAGCGTAAATTCCACTACCTCATCCAGGTGATGCTTATTGTGCACAACTTAAGTCGCTGTTAATGTCTTTCCAGTTCACCTCTCGGTGCTATTTTACTTGTACGCGCTAGTTTTAGCAGTGTTAACGGCTACATGGAAAACGACCTATGGTCATTTAATATAGTATCCTGGAATGTGTAACTATGGCAACTCTTGATTTAAAGCTTTCGTGACTGCAGGGATTAATATTCTTGGCTCTTTCGGTAAAGTCACGTAAAAGGGAAACAATAAAATAATAAAAATATAAAGCAATAAAATTCACGACGTTTCGACTGCAACACAAGCAATCATCACACCTGATGATGATTGCTTGTGTTGCATCACACCTGATGATTGCTTGTGTTGCAGTCGAAACAGTCGTGAGAAATGTATTGTTTTATTTGTATTATTTTGTTTCCCTTCTATGTGACTTTACCGAAAGAACCAAGAATATGGCAACTGTTGCAAGCAAGTGTCTGAGAACAGTAAAACTGGAAATCAACTTGTATAAATGATCGTTGAGTTCTTTGCCAACTTAAACCCATCACAACAGTCAGGAAATGTCAGGCTGACTACAATTTCCTCACCGTCATAAAAATGTTAATTGTTAAATCAAATCTGGTATGGTCCTATTTTAATCTAGATTTGAAGTTTTCCTGATTGCAGGAATCCATACTCTTTGGTTCTTTCGGTAAAGTCACGTAGGTATAAAATAAATCACATTTAAAATTGCAACACAATCATCATCAGGTGGGAAAACCACAGCATCCCTCTCCCACTGCAGCAAAACATTTTCTTGCTGTGGTTTTCCCACCTGATGATAATTGCTTGTTTTGCAATCGAAACGTCGCGATTTATTTTATACCTACGCGACTTTACCGAAAGAACCAAAGAGTATGGTCCTATTTTCTTGAGAATGTATTAAGCATTTAAATGTGATCACATCTCTTCCAATGTGGCACAGAAATAAGCAAAACCACCATTGGAGGATTTGTGAGCCCAAATGGCATTCACATGTTTTCATGTAATATCTAGCTTCCAAGTTGCAGTTTCAGCTCTAAAAATACTGATCACCCATGCCTCTACAAAGTTAACAGAGCCCTACTGGGCTACAATGTTGAACGTAGCTTGAGCAAATACATTTTCCGAGCCGAAACAGTGCAAATCAACTAATAAAAATCGAGCGAAGTGAAGCCTTTCCCATTATAGATGACGTAGTATGGTACACGATTACATTTGAAGGGAGGTGTTTTTAGGATGTTTGTCCTCAAAACTACTAACCCAAAAAAATACGATTTTGGAGATTTAGATATCTAAGCCGAGTGTCCAGCGCTTTACGAAGAATTTGAAGCTTTGTTTATGAAATCAAGAGCAATTTGACATTAAATGAATTGCTACAGAGATATCACTACAACACAGCTGACGGTGGTTTTAATGCATGTTTTTCCCCATTCTAAATCCAATCTATATTTGATCTACATTGACAGGCATAAGTCTCTACACTATTGTCTCCAGATTTCAATGCGATTTGCTCTTTTCTTCATGTCCTTGTCTTCTTTAACTCACTCAACATCTTCCTCTTCCTGCTCCTTGTTCTTTCCATCCCATGCATCCCTCACATTTATCATTGAGCATTTAGGTTTCATTTGTCCAATCCATTACTTCTTTATTTTTCTCGTCTCAAGTGGAACTTTTGATTGTATTATCCCGAACCCATCTTCACATGTCTTTCTATCCAACTCATATTTTCAATACATTCTCAGAAGCAAATGGTACATGAAGCATGATAACAAGTGGTTAAAGATGTCAAAAGTGAAATGAACACGAAAAAGTGCAAGCAGGTTTGTGGATGACAGAGCTTGGAGGTTACAAATATTAGTTAAGTGGTTGAATTAATTATCCATTAAAATTGGCATTAAGATCAACGTGAGGAAAGCAAAGGTGATGAAAGTATCAAGCGCACTGCAGGATGTAGAACAGCCATCTTAATTGACAATGAACTTGAGCACGTGAAACCATCCCATTATATAGGCAGTATTATCAAAACAGATGCCAGATTCTCCAACAAAGTGATGGGAAAATGCATTTTAAATGAGCTCCGAAGTACAATGGAAACTGAAATGTAGCACTGCTATAACTTTTTATAAAGTGTAAAAACAGATTATTTGGGTCTTTCGGTAAAGCCACGTAGATAGAAAAATAATAAAAATATCACGACGTTTGGATCGCAACACAAGCAATCGTCATCAGGTGAAAAATAGCGGGAGC